CCCCCCCCCCCCACACACACACACACACGAACACTGTTATTTTCTCCCCACAGGTTAAAAGAAATAATTCCTAGAATTTAAATGTATTGTAATCCAACTAGGCGCCACATCCTCTAAGGGTGAATAATAAATTTACCACCAATTATTCTACCACTTAAAACAGGTTTATAAAAATATAAATTGTTAAGTAAAAGAAGCCGTCCTCTTTTTTTCCATCCCTGATTTCAATTATCAAGATAAGTCAAATTGCATACAAATGTGTTTAGAGTCATCTAGTGCGCCAATGTGAGGGAACGTGGCGAACCTCACCGATGATTCTAAATATGCAGTCTTTGAGGGTACTGCTCCTGGGCAACCTCTTTTCTTTCCCCGCTGTGGTGGGATTTAGTCACACTGCAGAAAAACATGTAACCCGTATTAGAGGGCGTCTGCTACCTATGCCCTCCCCCCCCCCCCCAGGCGGGAAGGGGGGCATAGCAACGTAAAATATATCCACCCCAGCCCTAGAAAGTCCGGCCCGGTTACCCCGGCCGGCCAGGTGTGTTCCTTCTCTGATACTGCATAGTCATTCGAGTGGATTGGTGGGTGTGGCTGTTTCAGGGGTGGAATGCCCCGGCGTGCCGTTTTGTGGCCTGAATGTAATAAAGAAACAACTGGGGGAGTGGTTGAAAGCCAGTTGGCAGTAGCGGGGGTGCGCTGGGAAAGACTTTATGTGCTTCGGCTCAATAGTTTTCTGATTTTTTTAAGCACATTGATTAGTATGCCAATGTGTTTGTACCAAGATGACCTGCTACTTCCAACTTTGGCACACAAATTTTGTCCATGTCAGCATCCAGTCAGACATTTTACTATAGGCTTTTAACAACTGTTAAAGTAATATCTTTAGACCAACAAGGTCTAAATAGACCAGGGGGTTAGGGTGGAATGATCTAATATCAATATGTGTGTCACAGGATCTGATACACCAACATACAATCCAGAATACAAGTAAACCAACAGAAAACATAAAAATACATCCAGTGTCACTCCGGGTCAGTTTTCAGTCCTCTAGGAATATATCCAGTTGGTCAGCGCTGATGTCCAGCAGCTTGAGATACGACTTGAGGGGGGCCGGGATGGGAAGGCGGTCAATGGTGCTGAGAATTTCCCTGTGGTGCCGTACGTCACTCAGGTGGGCGCGGAGGGCCTGAAACAAATGACACGTACATAAACTAAGTGTAAACTGAAAACATCATATCTCCGCTAGTTACTTCAAGTAACCACTAGTTACTTCAAGTAACATGATTACATTTCAACCTACCCTAAAAGATAGCACATCACACACATACACACCCTCATATCATTGCATTCCAGAAAGTTAACTCTTTGTACAACTACTTACCAGCTCACAACAAAAATCTCACACACAAATTATGTCTCTGTGTGTGTGTGTGTTAATTAAGTACGAGAGGGAGGGAGGCCGACAAAAGAATATTCTTTGAAATATGAGGGGACAATAAGCAGACATTTTGGAAAGCACTGCCATGACCCCCATGGCCTCACCTTCCTGGAGCACGCCAGAAGAGAACATGACCCCCATGGCCTCACCTTCCTGGAGCACGCCAGAAGAGAACATGACCCCCATGGCCTCACCTTCCTGGAGCACGCCAGAAGAGAACATGACCCCCATGGCCTCACCTTCCTGGAGCACGCCAACCTGGAGCAGCCCGGAAGAGAACATGACCCCCATGGCCTCACCTTCCTGGAGCACGCCAGAAGAGAACATGACCCCCATGGCCTCACCTTCCTGGAGCAGCCCGGAAGAGAACATGACCCCCATGGCCTCACCTTCCTGGAGCACGCCAGAAGAGAACATGACCCCCATGGCCTCACCTTCCTGGAGCACGCCAGAAGAGACGGCACTGTCTTCAGGGTGAGAATCATCCAGTGGTGAAGTCTGTCTTGTAGTTCATCCTTCCCCGGCAATATGATCCAGTTTTCATTGCGCAGGTCCCAGCCTGCCTTGACCAGGTAGAGAGCTTCTTTCAGAAACCCTGAATATGCCAGCCAAAACAAGGGGGACTTCCTGGAAATGGTCATAATGGAACAATTAATAAACATGGAAATAACACATTTTCCCCACATGCATGATATTTGTGTAAATGCATTTATATTTATGTATAATTTCATTTACAGGGCTTTGCTTTGTGTGGCAAATTTTAAGAATGATCTACCAAAAACTGAATTTAAGACTATGCAGTAAAAGAGATGACTTGACCAAGCCAAGACTTGAACCAAGTCTGACATATGACAGTGGTGAGTCTTACATATGACAGTGGTGAGTCTTAATAATAATAATAATAAAGTTCATTTAAAAAAAACACGCTTCATCCCCAAAGGCTCGAAGCGCGGTACAAAGTCAACAAAAAACAATCTATAATTCACCACATTTAAAACAAACACAACACTACAAAAACTAATTACAAGCATACAATATCAAAGTCTTTCTGGCCATTTCAACACTAAGCAACACAGCAACACATGGAAAATAAGGTAGACAATCATCCCAGAAGGTATTTGCGAAATAGATGTGTCTTACATACGACAGTGGTGAGTATTCTATCAAACATATCAGTCTGAACAAAAAATACCTTGATCATGGAAGAAACTATAATCAACTTTACGGGGTAAGTAAGAATATTGCAAGTTGAGTATGTCATAACCTTGGCAGTTGCTTTGGTAAGAGTTGGGGCTTGCTCACAAATACTACTTAAGATGCGTGCCGATCATGTGTAATGATTTGACCCCATTTTGCACCAATATGGAAGTGTGCCGATCATGTGTAATGATTTGACCCCATTTTGCACCAATATGGACGTGTGATTGTTTAGAGGTTTTTTTTTCATTCTCCTTATTGAACAAGACAAAACAAGTGATTTGACTTACTTCCCCATTGTGAACTGATCAGGTCCGAGCTCCGAGCCAGCCTGGCAGATAAGCTGTATACATGGCAAAAAATGTTGTCTTCGTATGACACCGACCACAAGCCCTCGCTGCAGGGGGGTCAGGTTACCCTTGTCACGTACATCCAACCGACCCCCACCGTCCAGCAGAGCCTGAACTATTTTGTCCAAGGGCTCTCCTCCTTAGACAGTGCCGTAAAAATTGAAAAATTCTTTTTATTATTCACATTCATTTTTTTTAAAATGGAAGAGATAAATTAGTATGTCTTGGGCTGAACCCCCCAAATTTCTGCTGATATGACTGTTTAACTCTTGGCAGCCCTTGAGAATTTTATCGGTAATTCTTATTATTTGCCAACATTCATGATTTAAAATTTGAACAGAAAAGACAATCGAGAGAGCAGAGTTGTAAATTAGTAAAGTATGTATCTAGCATGTCTTTTGACTGAATCCTGACATACCTATTTTGGAAAGTGCCAGGTGCAAAGGGGTGTGTCCACTGATGTCCGGCAGTGTCGTGTCGGCCCCGAGCTGGATCAGTTTAAGAATGGTGTCCAGTTTGTTGGTGGCGACCGCTGACATGAGCGGTGTCTGCAGTGACCTTTCACTCCTGGCATTCACATTTGCCCCTGCTGAGACCAGGTGTTCTACAAGGTCAGGGTTACCCTGCAGACAATAAAACACACTTTAGCCAAACACCAAAAAAAAAAGTTCTACGATGAAATTTGCTTACAAACATCAGGAAATTGAACTTCAGCCTGGCTTACATCTATAGTCTACTTGTTAACCATCTCAGCAACAATTTTGATGTCATTTTTTCATTTTGATTACTGAATTAAGGGGTTACTGGTCTTCTTCTCATTGTCTGCCTTGAAGGGGTTACTGGTTCTTCTTCTCATTGTCTGCCTTGAAGGTGTTACTGGTATACTTCTCATTGTCTGCCTTGAAGGTGTTACTGGTCTTCTTCTCATTGTCTGGCTTGAAGGTGTTACTGGTCTTCTTCTCTTGTCTGCCTTGAAGGTGTTACTGGTCTTCTTCTCATTGTCTGCCTTGAAGGTGTTACTGGTTCTTCTTCTCATTGTCTGCCTTGAAGGTGTTACTTCTCTTCTTCTCATTGTCTGCGTTGAAGGGGTTACTGGTCTTCTTCTCATTGTCTGCCTTGAAGGGGTTACTGGTTCTTCTTCTCATTCTCTGCGTTGAAGGTGTTACTGGTCTTCTTCTCATCTTCTCATTGTCTGCCTTGAAGGTGTTACTGGTCTTCTTCTCAATGTCTGGCTTGAAGGGGTTACTGGTTCTTCTTCTTACTGTCTGCCTTGAAGGTTTTACTGGTCTTCTTCTCATTGTCTGCTTTGAAGGGGTTACCGGTCTTCTTCTCAATGTCTGCCTTGAAGGGGTTACTGGTTCTTCTTCTGATTGTCTGCGTTGAAGGGGTTACTGGTCTTCTTCTCAATGTCTGCCTTGAAGGGGTTACTGGTTCTTCTTCTGATTGTCTGCCTTGAAGGGGTTACTGGTCTTCTTCTCACTGTTTGCCTCGCTGCACACAGCAGCAGAATGGCAACATTTAGGGACATGGCTTATTAGGTGGCGTCAAGGTTTTAGAATCCCTGGTGTGACGTTTAAGTGTTTTTAATGTAGTTCAGCACCGGATGATTGGGTAAAACTTGGACCGCCTTTTCAACAAGGTGTGTACGTAGTGAGTCTGCATAAATCAATCAGGAGGACTTCAGGGACTGGAGGCAGTTTGGATTCCTAAAATATAGTAGATGGTTATCTGTTAGGTGGAAGATTAAGACACACAAGAGGGCCTGCAAGAGATGTTCATAGCAGAGTAATGTATTTTATCAAACCAACCAAGGAGTTGAGTTCATTGGTTGCTTTACATCATACACCACAGACGGGCATCTACAGCTGGAGGAGGAGGAGCAGGGTGGCTGAATAGGTTAAATCTCACGGTTGCTATGCCAACAAATCTCCCTGAATTGGTTGTATTTTGTGCAGGAACATCTATAAACATAATCCTTATCTACAAGGTAAAGGGCACATAAGCCAATCAGAGCAAGGCACATACAGCCAATCACAGCAAGGCACACATTTTTTTCATAATGCAATCAATCAAAAAGCCTCTAACCCTGTTGCTGGCTTTGTGAAGTGGCCTGAAGCCCAAGTTGTCCATGGCATGCACATCTGCTCCCTGCTCAATGAGCAGCTTGGCAACTCTGGTCTGGTTCTCCAGCACTGCTCCTGACAGGGGTGTTTGACTCTGGGCGTCCTTGACCTCGAGGGATGCCCCGTGTTGGATCATAGTGGTGATGCAGTTTAGGAGACCCTTCTCGCACGCCACATGGATGGGGTACTTGCCACTGGCATCTGCAATGTTCATTTTGGCGCCGTGACGACAAAGAAAATCAACCTGCATGGAGGGTCGGAGAGTTTTTAAAAGCTTTTTACTTACAAACGACATATTCTTACACAATTTTAAAATCTCTATGTACAAAAAACTCATTCATGCAAGACTTCTGCAAATCAAAACGCAAAAATAGTTACTGGCATTTAAGTCCTGTGTTTACTTAAGATCAATTACACCAAGCGTATTATCCAAATATAAGGACATCTTACCATCTCTGGCTTGTCCGCCATGATGGCTTTGTGCAGTGGAGTCTCCCCTCCTTTGAATTTCTTGGTGGGCGTGTTGACGTCCCCGCCATGTTCCAGTAGTAGCACCATGACCTCGACATAACCTGCCGCAGCGGCAATGTGAATGGCGTTTTCACCTGTTTCAGTTCTGCAAGAGTTGATCTGCCCGCCCTGCAGCACCAAGACACTGGGGAGGGGGGGGGGGGCCCCAAGGAGATCAAAAGATAAAGATTCTATTGGGAATGGCGTTTTCACCTGTTTCAGTTCTGCAAGAGTTGATCTGCCCGCCCTGCAGCACCAAGACACTGGGGAGGGGGGGGGGGGCCACAAGGAGATCAAAAGATAGAGATTCTATTGGGTATATAAGTCAGTGTCCTCACATTACTGTCAATGCAGTTGAACAATGTTATGGAGATATTTGGTCGATCCTTTTCCAGAAATTAATTTTAAAATCAAATTCTAAAAATTATGTAACACACGTAACCTTTTTAATGTCAAATATCACCTTATATTACCTGAATACCTCTGTGTGTCTCATATAATTACTTGACTACCTCTGTGTGGCTGATATAATTAGCCGACTACTTCTGTGTGTCCCATATAATTACCTCACCACCTATGTGTCCCATTTAATTAGCTGACAACCTCTGTGTGGCCCATATAATTTCAAGACAACCTCTATGTTGCTCATATAATTACCTGACAACCTCTGTGTGGCCCATATAATTACCTGACAACCTCTGTTTGGCCCATATAATTACCTGACAACCTCTGTGTGTCCCATATAATTACCTGACAACCTCTGTGTGTCCCATTGCACAAGCTAAATGTAAAGGAGTCCGCCCAAAATCATCAGCACAGTTGCTTATGGCCCCGGCCTTCAGAAGCAATTTAACACATTCCAGGTGTCCATTTTTGGCTGCGTGGTGAATGGCTCGCCTGTTTTTTTCATCGCCGTAACTCATGCGTGGGTGAAGGGACAGTAACTTGGACAGCACAGTGACATTGCCACGAATAGCTGCATGTATTACACACTGGTTGATGTCCAAAGGAAGTCTGAAAAAAAAGTTACATGATTACCAGAAAATATAAACTTCTGTTTAAAAAATCATAAACCATAATTGAATGACTTACTCATTACACAAATCAACTAAATGTACATTAAAATTTTACAATAAAGATACTTTAAAAAGGTGATATTTGTAAATTTGCCATTAAAAAAAAAAGTTAAAATCTGATTTTTATTAAGACGTCTTGCAATGAAAACTCATTTCCAGTCAGGCTTGACAATAGGTAAAAATATATAATGTGATATTTTTTTACCCACAATTATTATAATTTTAAATATCTTAAAGTTCTTTAAGCATTTGTTCAGAGGTCTACCATGAAACATGTTAAGATATCAACGTACAAATAAGTCAAATGTATCTTATCCTGTCTGCTCCCTTCTTAACTTACTAGGTTAAAAATGAAAATGGAACATAATACAAAAAGATTATACAAACTTCATTCCACCCCACCCATTTGTTACATTTACAATTGATAGTTTAAAAAGAAGGAAATTGTTTTTTCAAGCATAATTCTTGATAATACCTTGGATCATTAAGTTTAGTTTGCACCAGAGAATCAATAACCATCATGTGCTCTCCATCCATACTATTGATGAAAATCTCCATCAGTTTTTCAATCTGAGCTGCCTCTTTATCATTGACTGATGCCATTCCGAGCCTTCAAATCTCATGTACACCCACCTGTAAAGTTAAGGATATATGTTTTCACACTAAAATACTGGTTTCCATATGTGTTTACAATAAATTACATTGGGCTTTTTTACATGATCAAAATTAATCTATTCTGATTATGCAACCCCTTTTTTTAAAAATTAAACATAGTGGCTACATCATCGGGGAAAAAGTATCAAGCAATTAAAGTTTTCACTTCTGAAAGCTACTAACAAATAAATAGTGGACAAACATATGTTTAGGCTTGAAAAAAAGACATGACACTTACAAGGACGTTTTGGCTAAATGCCTACTTCAGCAGACATGACACAACAAGAAACAATTAATAAATAAAAATTTAAATCATGTGTTGGCAGATTCTGGTCAACTACCAACACTAGTTACAGTATAGTAGAATTAGAATATAGAATAGAAATCTGTTTGAGTTTATTAAAAAAGTAAATAAATTGATAAATGTTACGGCACGGAATGATTATATATTTCATGATTGGAGAAAAGTCAAAAGTAATCTCTGCGTGCTTCGGCTTAGCATGGGATTTGGAATGGTAAGAGACATACTCATGCCATGAACTCATGTTTTATTTATTTTTTTTAAAGTTGGAATGATATTCAGAATATCCACCCAGAAATTTCATTACAGTTACAGATACTCTGAGAGATGCTTAGGATCGATCAGTTCGGGACGATTTCTTTCTCTCAGGGCGAGGACTGAAAGATTTTAAAATTATGTACGCATTTACCAGGGTGCTCCCCCTGAAGTCTGAAGTCACTATTACTAACTAATCTTAATCTTACTTATTAATGAGAACTAATACGTCCCTGATATGGCTATGACTCATGAGAATGAACTGAATGGCTGTTTTTTTTTTTTTTCCACTAGAGACTAGAGAAAATAATTTAATGTCATATCTTGTGTTAAAATATTAAAAGTGTTTTATTTATGCGCTGAAAATGTACAACAATGCAATCAAAAAACTAAAACATTTCCATTTGTTTGCATCAATAAAGGAATGTATCTTAATTTAGAAAGGCAAAACTGAAAGAGAGAGAATTGTACATTTAAAACTTAGGAAGATTGGCTTTTTTACATTTTTCTATCAATATCAGTCAGTATCAGTAGTATCAGCGTTCGACTCGTTCGTGCTTTCATAATTATTTAATTTACATTTATTAATTATTAATAATCATTCATACTCATACCTTTTTTTAAGAACAAATATTGTCAAAAAACACTAACTGCAAACTACAACTGGCGACCCCGAGAATGTATAGAATTACGCATTTTTTCTTTTACCAAAAGTCTGAACTCCTTTGTGGTTCTAAGTGATCAGACCAATAATTTTACACATTCAACTCCTAGTAATGTTGACAAAATTTTGAACCCAAACAAGCGTCACTGGCTAAAATTACAACAAAGCGACAGCTGTTTCCGGTATTTGCCAGAATTTGACAATTTTAATTTTATATTTTTCATTATTAGTTAGGGAAGCGTTATCCGCACAGCTCTGCGAATAAAAGTTAATGGGCATGTCAAATACCCTTAAATTTATGCGAATAGCAAACTATTAGTTTGGAAATTCCCTTTTCAAAACAATAATGCTTTACCAGATATATTTTAAGTTCAGTTTTGTAACATGTATCTGTTGAGTGGGCCCATTCTTAATCTATGTTTGTCAATCACTGTTCGTAGTTCACAGTTGAGTGAACATTTTATTAACTATTACAATATTACAAACACAAACATACTAAAAAAAGACAAAATAATTTGTTGTTATAAATATTTATCTTGAATAATATATAAATATTTGGTAAATAACTTTTAGAAATTTTCTTTCATATAAACTTTCGGTGTCTGTTGGCTGTTTTTTTCCTTTCCATATAGCCTATAGATATAGATCAGAGGAACTCTCTATTAATAGTATTATTAATTCAAGATTCAATATCATACTATATGATAAATCATGCCATATAGTATGATATACTTAGTCACTGCCTCATTTTAAATACGCAACGGGATCCATGACTCCATAGAAATAGAAGAAAAGTGGCCCGCGACAACGATAAATATGGGCATGGGAGGAGAAAGAACATTAAAATATATGTTTCAGTGTGGAATATCATGTCAGTTTATGAAATTATTTAAGCCTCATAAAAGCTACAATTTAAAAATGAGACTATAATTAATTGTTATTAATTTTTTTTTTATTTACTGTCTAAGCCGGAGCCCACAGTAAATCCTCCGTGATCCCCCTTTGAGTCGTAACCTATGGGTGGAATTTGTAGCAAGGCATATTCCTCATCAGACCCTCTGTGACCTACATACGACTTACCCTTAAAAGTTCCCCAGAGCACCATCCCATAATTCTATGCTGAGTCGGATGTATACGGGTGCTAGCTGCGAGTGAATGGAAGTCTTCCGGGAATGCTAGAGAAGTGTTTTTTAAACTAAAGTTCTGTGTTAAGTTTTAAGTTTAAAAATGCGTGCAGTTTTTGTGTTTCTTTTTGTTGGACTACATTCTGCATATTCTCAAGCACCGAGAGAACCTAGTGTGCCTTGCTATGATGATCAAAACCGGGCGCAAAGGTGCCAGCCCCCGTTCGTTAACGCAGCTTATGGAAGAATTATTGTGGCCACAAATACTTGTGGAGTGAAACAACCGATAGAGTACTGCTTGCAGACTGGTGTTACCGGTGCCAAAAAATATTGTTACGTATGTGACGATAGGGAACAGGATAAAAGGCATCCCCCAGAATTTTTGTCTGATTTTAACAACAATACGAGATGGACTTGGTGGCAGAGTGAGACAATGTTGGAAGGAATGCAGTATCCTTCCGTTGTAAATTTAACTTTGCATCTCGGTAAGCTGTAAGAGTAAGAGTAAAAGTAAAAGAGTTTATTTTATATTTATTATTATTATGTTAAAAAATGTTATGAATTAATACTTGATTATTACGATAATTACTTGATTAACTATGTATGAGTTAGTAGCTATTACTGTACTGTTATGCTCACGAAAGCTGCAAAGCCCCCAGCCCAAAGGATAAATAGTTAATTAAAATTAAGTTTACTAAAAATGTAATGAAATTAAGTAATAAAATGTAGGCTCAAATATATGAACAATCCGTCAAACTATTTGGCCTCATTAGCCAATACTAATATGCCTACTTGGACTACAGTTTTAAGTTATAGTTATAGGAATTATATAGAATATATATAATAATATTTATAGTCATAGAAATTTTAGTATAATCATAGTAATAGTACTGGCATAGGGGAGCCAATGCTTAGTTTTTGGCCTATTTTTCTTATGCCACTTTAGCATTTATGGACCAGAGATATACTACTTATAAGACTTGTTTTAAGTTTGACCTTTTACTTTCTTTATCCAAATTTTATACTAACTTAACTTGTCATTAATTATGGACATAGGCTGTGGCATAGGCCGTTATTTATAGTACAGTGATTTTGGCAATTACTTTATTTTCACATTGCCATAATTTGTTAAATTTGTAGATAGACACATTGCCATAATTTGTTAAATTTGTAGATAGACCTATGCCTATACTATATAAAAGTAGTTAAAGGCTATCTCTATAATATAGTATATTTATGTGACCAATGCTTCTCAGGGGGTGCAAGCGGGCATTTCAGGGCTGTATCAGAAAAAGTTATAAAAACAGAGGAGACAGTTGCTCTTAATCAAGTTATGACATTATTTTGTAAATGAGAATGTTAAATTTAAATATTTAAAAAGCAAGAAATTCATTAAAATTTTACTTTTAAGTTCTTTGCAATGCAAAAAAATAATAATTTTAACCCCATTAAAAATAAATAATTAAAATACATTATTACTTACGTAGGAGGTGCGAGATAAATTCAAAATTTTTTAAACAGTTCGTTAGGGCAGCAGAAGGAGAGTGTAAAATAAAAGGCTGGGAAACCTTTGTATAAGTATAGGCTAAGTGTAATTTAGAAATTACTAATATTGAGCATAGGCTAATATGTGTTTTTTATTTATTTAGGCTTAACCATATTAATTTAAGAATACATAAGACATAACTCAGTTTAAGTGTAAAATTGAAAATAAAATAATTTTTATTTAAAAAAAAAAATATTTTATTTGTCATTTGTTCTACCAAAATCAAACCAGATTACTACCACACTTAAAATGAAAATGCAACAAAGATGATCTTGATGAAAATGCAACAGATGATTCTCTATAGTCACTGGTGAAATCTCTGCAATGGCAAATAGAATGCTCTAAAAGGGGAGACAACCCTTCCGAACAATGTGGGGTGTGGCGAGAACAATGTGGGGTGTGGCGTGCAGGCGCCCCCCCCATAATTAAACTGAGACAAAATAATTTTTGTAACTAAATGCAGTTATCTCAGTTATCCTACTACAGTTAAAATGACATTCACAGTGTTTAACCTAACATTCATTTTTGCCAGGCTTCTCTCTGTCAAAGGAGAGTCACTCTATTAACTCTTGCAGCTGTATACTTAAGTATAGTATGACTGTAACAGTTTTATAGTTGAATGATTTAACTGATGATTAGCAATGAATATACCCAGTTTTAAATTGGCCACTCTAATGCATGCTCAAACTTAAATGCCTTTAGCTTTATCAATAGGACTTCGCTTTGTTATGATTAGCAACTGTGTCATACTAGCCTACAGTTTGTAGTCTCCCTTTTCATATTGTTACTACAATGGTCAGTAATGGAATTGTAGACTGCTTGTGTTCATAAGTGCTGACTGATGCTGATGTCTTATTGTCTTGAGAGCTCCATACACTCAGACATCAGCATCAGTCAGCACTTATGAACACAAGCAGTCTACAATTCCCTTACTGACCATCGTAGAAACCAGTGTTCCACTTCCAGTATTTAGTTTTTGTAGAGTTTTTTCGGTGCTTCTTGCAAAACATTTCACCATATTGTGTCAGTATTGTTTTACTATTTTATAAAACTGCAATAGTTTGTTATTTATCCCTTAATCAATTGAAAAATATAACTATTCGTAACATAGACTTTAGACTAGCAGGAAGAATGTCTACTTTTGATTAAATTTGAAAAAGAAATGGAGGCTAAGTGATATAAAACCATTTTATCATCCAACATGCAGGGTTTAATGTCTATACAATGTTTTGTTAGAATACAATTCTCACCTCTGTTTGATCAAGAACTACTTTATTTGCATTGACATTCAAATACTCCATTCTTGCACATTAATGCACAAGTCTCTAGACTTACTCTAAAACTATATTTTTAAAGGAAAAAATCAATCCTCCAGGGGTAATGGTGCACACAAATGTTGAAACAACTTTTTGTTGATTAAATGTTTATTGAAAACTTCATCTTGGCTTTTCCTAGTGGGGTACAGTTCACTGTACTATGCTAATTAGAAACTTATATATATATATTTTTTTATATCTCTTATCTGATCAGGGAAATCCTTTGACATCACCTATGTCAATCTCCGGTTCTACTCACCCCGTCCTGAGAGTTTTGCCATCTACAAACGCACCACGGAAAATGGGCCCTGGATACCATACCAATTCTACAGCGCTTCCTGTGAGAAGACCTACTCTCAGCCGCGCAGAGGCATCATCACCGCCTCCGACGAGGACAAGGCCATCTGCACAAATGAGTTTAGTGACATCAGTCCCCTGACCGGTGGAAGTGTTGCTTTCAGTACCCTGGAGGGGCGCCCTAGTATGTTTGAGTTCCTCAGTAGCCCAAAGCTACAGGTAAGCGTTATGTTATTTCATTAATTCTCAGTATATGAACTGAAACCCCCTCCAACTCCCATCAGGCAAATTCTGTTGTGTTGATTGTGTCTTTAAGAAAATGGAAGCTGAGGTTGGTTTTGCCATTTTTATATTGCAGGCCAATTTTGTATGCCAATATTTATAAAACTGATCATCAATTTAAATAAGTGGTTTCTGAAAAGCAGTCATTTTTAGAAAAAAAAAGTTATATCAGCATTGTTAAGTCCAATGCATTAATACGAGGTCATGCTTGTATTTATTTATTGATACATCACAGTTACAGTTTTGTCTCATTGATTTGATTGATGTTCTTGGCAAACTCTGTGCCATGCTTCTTTTTCTGTATCAAAAAGCATGCTGTCCCACCTCAAGATGATGATAGGTTCAGCAGTTTTAAAACCAAAATTGACTTTGTGCTTAAACCTTGATGTCTCAATAGTGGCATCTGCTGTCAGTGATCTTTGTGGTGGTTTTTTGCAGCAGACCTCTAAGATCTTAACACAGATCTATGTTCAAAGATGCCTAAGAACATGTACAATGGAAGACTAATTGTTTAGCATGTATGTAAGGGAAGTCAGGCTGTCATCAAGCTTGTTATATATTGTTGAAAAATCAATGTTAATATT